AACCTTCCTTCCGAGGAGTGGCTGGTGGGTTTGAACCACCAGCCGTCTGGTTAGCAGGCAAGTGTCTTAGCCACTATGCTACCAGAGCTCCCGTTATCCAGTCTTGACGCGAAAATCAGAATTCTGGAAAACTTATGCTTGTCACTAGGAGCTTGTCAGTGACCCATTTCTTAGACATCTGAGAGCTAGGTAGTAATAACTATATAATGAAATCTGTCAATGTTTGGAAGATCTAGATAACTCAGTCAACGATTTCCAAATGACCAATGAATTTCCACATGACCAATGTAACAGAGTACAAAAAATTCAATGAAACTGTGATTCCATACTGCAACTAATCTTTAAGAAACAACCACTTGTCAAATTTGGGTGCCGTGTCAAAGTAGACTATCTACAATCATCCAAAGTGGCTATTAAATACTCTTACCTTTTCCAAATGTCCGAGGCTGGATTTTTCTTTATATACACTAAATACTGGATTTTTCTTTACATACACTAAATATGTTGTTCGATCAAAACAACGTATCAACAGTCAGAATGCAAAAGAAGATCTGAAAATTCATCTATCTTTTATTAAACAAGACACTACAGAGATATGCAAAAATGTATAAAATAATGCTACCCTTCCAAGTATTTAGTTATTTTTCATGAAAACTGTGTCACTTATGTTCAACATACGAATTAACTATTATTATGAAATCAATTTGATCATATTTAAAAACAGAGGTATGATTTTAATGAAACATTAGGATTGTTTTCACCATAGCAGTGGTCTCTGTCAGGTAATTTTGCCTCTCCAAGGACATCTGACCATGTCTGGAGACATTCTTGGTTGTTGTAACTTGAGGGCGGGGAGGTGCTAAAGGCATCTAGTGGGTAGAGGCCAGGAATATTACTCAACACCCTTTAATACATGAGACAGGCCCCACAACGAAGAATTATCTGACCCTACAGACATACTGTGTCAGGTAATTAGGGTCCACTCCAAATGCAAAAGAATGTACCAAATTCTCAAGAAATGTTATTCATACACCTTGCTTCCAGTATCATTAAATCCCTAAATTTCTTAGTACCCTAACCTTTCAACGAACTGCATACTTACAGATGTGCTCCTTATTGAAAATTAATCATCAAAACTACTATCCTTTATTTCTAATTTAACTGTCACCTAATTAATATTATAATAAAACAATATAATCGATGTTTTTCTAATCTGCCAATGAGTTTGGTTCCCTAAAAATTCTATTTGCTCTTAGATATCGAGGAGTTGAACCAAATACATGTAGTATATAAACTATATGGATCTTCTTATCTAAGCCCCATATTTCAGAAGCACATAAATATCCAGGCTCTTTTATGACTATTTTTAGGTCACTCCTCCATAGTTGTTTACTTATATAAGCCAACACACTTGCACCAAGCAATATGAAAACAAAGATAAGACAGAAACATTTCAACATAGTCTAATATAATAATATAAAGACAAACAGCTAAAATCCAAAACTGTATGTGCTGTAAATAGAAGTATCAAATAAGTGTTACGGAAGCTTGAGGGAGAAGGAATGCCAGGAAAGGTTTCCCAAAACAGAGTAATGCTTGAACTGAGAAAATGTCACAGAAAACCTACACCGTTCACATCATAGTATTCAGACTACACTTCTCATCTGCTCACACACATTTTTTTCAGTTTTTACTTTGTTACATAAACAAAAACAAAGTGGCAATCTATTTCAAATAGACCAAAGTGGCAAAACTAATTCAATTTCAAATCTTAAATGAAGAGAGAAAAACTAGTAATTTTATCAAAGGATCTAAGTCCATTATCTCCATCCTGTCCAAATTCTGGCTTTAGTATCCTTTTTTTTTTCACCAAGTAACACACCATCTGTTACCCAGTTAACAAACGTTTCTTTCTAAATTTTTAAGACTGGCAAGGGAATAATCACTGCTTTTTTTTTCCCCCCTCAGGTAGTTTTAGTCCAAACTGGGCTTTAATTTCCTCACCTTATTCTATTACAATACTTTATTTTGAATTCTGCACCAAAGAGAAACCATGGAGTTCCAAGGTACAAGAATTACAAAGTGACCTCTGCCTTACTTTCCAAGTCTTCTACTTCCTGCTTTCTATTCCAATACTGTGGGCTACTAACTGGACTCTTCTGAATCCAGAGTCGCTGTCACAGGTCAAAAATGCAGATACAGAACAAGAAACTAGCCCACAACCCGTAGTTTTATCCATCCGTTTCCAATACATAACATCCTGACGTTCTTTAACAAGCTTTGAAGTTTAGTTGGTCTAGGTAATGTACCACTAATGAAGCTTCTCCCTTATTTTGACCAGAGCTAAGAGCACTCAAATCCGAAACGCTATTTAAGACTACGTCTACTACTAACTACCGATTGTCTCCCCTCCTTACCCCTGGAAGCCTCAATAATGGAACCTTCTGAGAGGGTAGTGTGGTAGGAAAATTTCTAGACAGAATTAGGACATCTAACTAATACCGTCCTTTCTCTAAGCCTCGGTTTCTCCATCTATAGAACTTGCAGGTGATGCAGGGGAAAAGGATTGGCTTAAATAATTTGTAAGGTTCTTATGACTACAGTAATTCAGAAATCCAATCTTTCTCCTCATCTGGCTTTTACACAGAACACGTGGGAGAACAGAAAATAAGATTCTACTGCACTGAGCCAATCTTAACTCTCAGATATTACCTTAAAAAGCTAGCAAACTCTCAACCCACCCACTAACCCATTTCTCTCGCAGAGAAGTAGTTAAAAAAAAGCCCAATCCCGTACCACCGCCAACAAAGTCTGGGGAGATCATCTTAAGGCGCTGCCTCTGCAAAGGGCTGGCCCAATGCGGGTACTTAATCACCATAAAGCGAATGAATGAGTACAACCAGCTAAAAGAACGCTCCTTCAGCGTGGGTTGCAACTAGAGACCTATTCAACCCAGGTCCCACCAACATCGATTCCCTCCCAAGGCCCGAAGAGCTAGGCCGGGGGGGGGCCACAAGATCGCGGGCCCCGCCCACTCCCTCTGGGTGGAAGGTGCGCCAGTGGCGCGAGACTTCGGCTCGGAGAGGGCCTGGGATGCCCCGCGCACCCGCCCGCCCTGAGGGGAGGAGCCCGCCGGTCCCTGGCCGCCACCGCTCCGGCTCCCGACTTACCGCGATGCGGTGAGGGAGGGGACGTGTCAGGAGTGAGGGCCCAGGCCCGTTCGCCACCCGCCGCTTTCTAAGCAGCGCGCGGCCGCCACGAAACCGCCGCCGCCACTACCACCGCCACCGACCGCCGCTCCGGGCGCTGAGCGCAGAGGGCCCGACTGCGTCACACGCCGCCTGCCGTCAGAGGCTCGCTCCCAGTGCTCCGCCCTCGCTGTTTGTGCATTGGCAGACGAGGCCGCCACTCTAGGCCCGCCCTGTTATTCATTGGGCAACTAGTCTTTTGAAACAGAACGTGAGGGTGGTCTTCGGGACAAGGGACAAGGGGGAAGAGGAGGGGCATGAAGAGTTAGGGAGAGGAAAAGGGGAGGAGCGGTGGAAGGGATTATGGAGTCCCGCCCTCACACTGCCGGGGTTGGCTGGGAGAGAGTGGTGGCGTCACACAGGGCCTCTCGAAGTGGGCTGAGGAGTGGCTACATGGGGGTGTACAGAGCAAGGTATGGGAGGAGTGGTAACGTCATATCGAGGCTCCTCCCCCTGTCTTGGGGCCCGGAGACTCAGGCTGCGGAAGCTCGGGCCAATCAGAAGAAAGGCTCCAGGATGGCATGGTAACTATTTTACCCTTCCTTGTCCCAATCCGCAGGCGGTGAAGGGAAGGCTTCCTGGTGGCCTAGCCCGCACTTCCTGGCCAGACCACGTGCGGAGCTGGAGGACCCTTCCAGGAGGTCCATCTGGGCTCATAACTTGCCTGCGACTGCTCTGAAATCCAAAATTCTTGCCTCCTTTCTTGCCTCATGCCAGCACTAGTAGTACACCCTTTCCCTCTCTGAACCTCAGTTTCCTTCTCATAAAAGAGAGGCAAGGATTATCGCAGAAACCATAGAATAGTCTTTATGAACATTCGAGATGCCTAAAGGGAACGGCCCAGTATAGAGCCTGGAACAAATAAGAATTCTTGGCTTTCCTGATCACAGCTACACTTAGACACCTTAAAATCCCGTTGTCATCGAGTATATTTCAACTCATAGTGACCCAATGGGATAGAGTAGAAGTGCCCCACAGGGTTTCCTAAGCAGTAAATCTTTATGGAAGCAAATTACCACTTCTTTC